CGCCCATGAAAAACAGAAAAGAAAAACTTCAAACGCAGTTTTTCCCTGCGTAAAGAAAGCAATTCTCAACCCAATTCAGCTTTCATAGCACTGCAGCTGTCTCTTCGCTCGTACCGCCCTAAAACGAACCGCGCAGCTCTGTTTTGTATTTTTTTAAGCTTATCAATCAAGTTCGTCTGCATCGGGTCCCACACAGGACATGCGTATTCGAAAATCGGTCTAATACATGTGAGATAGGCTGTATTTTTTAATGTTCGGGGTGCCAATCTTAGGTTCCTCTGAATGAAGTTTAGAGCCCTTGCCGCTTCGCCAGCAACGTGGTCAACATAGGCATTCCATGAGCAGTCATGCGACAAAACAACGCCAAGATATTTGCATGTTGGTTCGGTAATAACAGTATGCGTATCTATGGTGTACGCCATTACTATTGGTTTCTTTTTTTTTGGAAACACGCATATGAACGCACGTTTTGGGGTTTAGCGTCATTTGCCACTTCTGGCACCACTGTACAATACAATCCAAATCGTTCTGCAAATAAGCACAGTAACCTTCGTTCTGAACCGGTCGATATAACACACAATCGTCGGCAAATAAACGCATGCGCGACGAAATACCCACAGAAATATCATTTACAAAAATAAGAAGAGGGGCCCAAGGACAGAGCCCTGGGGCACGCCTGATGTAACGTTAACATAGGATGAACACTTCCCATTTAAAAGAACGCATTGACGCCTGTTCAGCAAGTAATTGGTTATCCAGATGAACACATTTGGGTCGAAATTTAGAGTCTGTAATTTAGCCAGGAGAAGGGAGTGTGACACGGTGTCAAAGGCCTTTCGAAAATCTAAAAACACACAATTGCCCACCTTCATTAACGTTGGAAGCCAGCTCGTGAAAGAACTCTACAAGTTGCGTCGTACAAAAGAAAACCTTTACGAAAACCGTGCTGCTCATTTATTAATATATATCAGCAGTAAGATGGGTCAATATGTGCTTGGATAAAATGTGCTCGAAAATTTTGCATGCCACTGACGTCAATGAAATGGGTCGGTAATTTGTTACATCTTTTTTTGAGCCACCCTTATGAACCGGAACAACATGAGAAGTTTTCCAATCTTCGGGTAGAGTTCCATGTGAAAGGGATTTTGAATAAATTATATAAAGGTAAAGGGAAATTGGCAGTGCACATCGCTTTAGAATACGAGGAAGAGATGCCATCAGGACCAACTGCTTTGGATTCATCTTGGTTTTCTAGAAGAGAACATATGACACGGACAGTCAGTTCTACCGGTGGCCTCGGCGGAATCGTGGTTGGATGTGGTTTTGAAGGAACGTCAAGCTTGGGCAAGAACACAGACTGGAAATATTTGTTTAAACAGGTAGCTTTTGCTTCCTCATCAACCACAACCATTTATTAAAGTTTAGTTCAGCCACTCCAACATGATCAGACCCACACTCTTTGATATAATGCTAGAAACACTTTGAATTAGTTTTCATTTTATTGCTGAGCCCTTCGAAATATTTCGTTTTTGCGCTTTCCACACATGATTTATACTGCTCCGTTAACGCTTGTATTTCTTTCACGTGGTCACTGCTTCCAGATTTCTTTAATTTACCAAAAACCCATCGCCTTTTCCGGATCAATCTCAAAATACCTGACGTCATCCATGGCTTCTTGCGTTTACGAAGCTTTCCGGCTTGTTTCGCAGGTATATACTTATCTACGAGTGCTAACAACTTGTCCTTAAAGCTAAGCCATAAATATTTCATACTGTAGTGTTCAGCTAGGCATTCAAACACGGGCAAATAATCTTCTAGCTTTTCGACTATTCTGTTGTAGTCACCCCTACTGAACAGAAAAACCTTTCTTGCTGCACTATTTGAGGTGTTTTTACATTCTTTTTTTTATTTCTGCCACAACAGCCATGTGGTCGCTGATTCCTGGAATAACATTGACATTAATCACCAAACTGAGTGACATTGAGAACACAAGGTCAAGAAGGTTATTATTTCTACTTGGGCAAGTAACAAACTGGGTAAGGCCGTAGTTGTCTATTATATTTTTCATTTCTATGTTTGCGCGGCACCCAGTGCCTCGTACGCATATTCCATCATCATGCAATTCTAATGTCTGGCAAATTAAAATCACCAGCAAGAAGGAATGTTCGGTTTGAAACTTCCGAGATAATCTCATTTAACGACTGAAGTGTTTTGTAGTCCGAGTTTGGGGTCGATAAAATGCACCTACAGCGAACGAAGAATTATCATCTAGGGTAATCGTGCACCAAACAAATTCAATATCACACTGGATGTCGAGGGCAGCAGATTTCAAAGAACTTCGCACAAGTAACAATACACCGCCCCCATGGCTCTCTCTCTGTCCTTTTCATTGAGCGTTTCTTCCCTTTTTTCTCACTATTTATGTTTATCTCTCTGTCTATATGTTCTACTTTTTATTGGCTTCTCACCCTAGATTTTTTTACCAAACCGATCGCTATTTAATAATTTAGAAGACAATCTCTTGATTTACTAGTCTTCTCAGATAGTCGAGTACCCACGATGCTCGTCTTCGGATTATGGGTAAGTGCGGACTTGAATCTAACATGGCGAGGAACTTTTTGCAGCGAAAGCTGTATAGGGGTACGTGAAACAAAAAAAAATGGTCTTCACGAGTATGGCTAACGGCCTATATTGGGTGCGCCTTCAGTGATGTCGTTAGGTACGCCGCATGTGAGCATGGACGCCATTGGCGGCGCCGTTAGTGACACCATTTTCTGCGTCGTATCCGTGCATGTGGCTATTGGATATGCCATAAATTTTTATTTAACCCTTTACAGCTGTGCCACTGAGCTCTCGTGCAGAAGTTTCAAATTACAATTTCTACGTTGGGGGGAGGGGGGGGCACAGATTGCAGGAACACCTATATAGCACAGAACATGCGAAGAACGGCACCGACAGCAGATCCGAGAGGGAAACCATGTTCGCCGGGCCGATGCAGCAGTCCTGGCAAAAGGACAGGCAGCAACTGCGCACGGAGGATCTGGCACCCTTCCGAGCCAAATGGAAGCGGCGAGCCGATGAAGCAGCATTGAGGACAGAACAGCCTCAACGGGGCAACGGCGGGAGTGCGTTCGCCGGGGCCAACGCCCGCTGTAGGCGGCGGTGACTGGTGATCACACGTGTAAGTGCAAATAAATGGCCTATAAAGTTGACCTATCTAGTGCACGGAAGGATCACCGCCCCCGTAGCCTGGTGGTAGAGCATCGAACGTGCAATTCGAAGGCTGCAGTTTCGGTGAAAGGAAACTAGTTCTTTTGCTTTCACTTCTTGCTTACACACATAGCAATGGTCTAGTTTGCGCCGGTTTGATGCCTTGAGGTAGTTTGCGAGGGATTTCACTGCCAGCGCCGCTGCTTCCTGTATACATTACAGTTACTTCCAGTAACATCATCTATGCTTTCCTTGGCATCATTGTATGTTAGTTTTTACTACTGACTGCGCCTAACAAAGAAATAGTGTCTCTAAGTTTACACTTCAGTACTTCACTTTGAACGTCATTGATTGGCCAACCTGTCTTACATGTAGCAGAAGTTACACAAATAATTATTGATTGACTTGAAAAATTGGCAAGTATTAGCAATCGGGAAAAGAATTCCCAGTAGCTTTTTTTCTGCGGTTGGCAGTTTTACTGAAACTAATTGCCCACCATTGTATATTGCTTTGATCCATCTATATTGTGTATTCTGCATTCGAGGAGGGCCTAAAATGTTTGCAAAAATGTGCGGAGGCGAGAGAAGGAGGGTGATAAGGCCTTAGCCTGCTTACGGCACTGTGTGTGTCGGCACGATAGCTTTGAATACCATTAGAAAGTTCCCATTGCATTGGTCCAAACGAAATGATTGGCTTTCCGCCACTTATATTTTTTTTAAATAAAGAGGTATTGGTATATCTGTTCTCATGCGTGTCACTGACGACTATAAAACATTACTGTTATGCATGATAAGCGCGAACTCAAACAAGTAGCAGTACTGCGCAATCATACGGCAGCTAAAAGGCATAGTCCTGTTCTAAAATTGTGTCATAACAGGTTGGTATAGACATCAAAACGAGGCCTTGCTGCCGGAAGGTTCCGAATGAGGATACTCAAATAGGCACAAGCACGCTGCGGTTTTTGAAGCGACTGGTGGCACACCACAAGTATTGCCCTGAAAGTTAGTGGTCTCGTTCTCAGAAAAAACGTGGCTACGCTTATAGAAACCGCGAAGCGAAATCCTATGGCGATCAAATTTTCGGCCAGAACTGCCTCCACACGGTCATGCTTTCGCCTAGAGGAAACAGCAAGCTTTCAAAAGTGACACTCTGAAAAGAGCCCTGCCAGAAAAAAATACACCGTTCTCTTCGCATTCACGGTATTTCAATCTTGCATCAAATAATTTACGCCTTATTTTAATGTGCTTTCTGCGAAAGTGCAGGACTTATGCCGCGGTCTATACGCTTGAATAGATACATGCCAACAAGCTTGAACTTCCCGAAGGCGCATCGATTGATTTTCTGGTTTAGCCACACTCCTGAAGTGTTTAATAATAAATATATTTCAGTTTCACGTCTCGAAACACCGATATCATCTTGGAAGGATCCGAAATGATGGGCTCTGAAAATTTTGACAAATTGGTCTCCATTAACGTGCCTATTTACAACGCACATTATACGTGCCTACATCGTTTCGCGTCCCTCTAAATTAGATAACCGATGCTGGGATCGAACCCGCAACTTTCAGATCGGCTGCTGAGCACCATAAGCACTGTTACACCGTGGTGGACCCTGATAGGCCTAACAAAGAAGTTCATGTGCGGAGATGCACTGCGAAAAGATGCGTGTGCTACTGTCGCTGTAAAACTGTGAAGTACAAAACCGAATGGGCCCTGTAGAGACGCGCCATATACTCAATTTTTTTTGTGTGTCTCCTGTTATCATCCGAAAATTCCTTCTTATTTCCGGAAGATTTTTTAGAGGTGGACATGACTGTCACTTTATTATAATTTTTTAGGCTTCGTCGCTGGCTTCTTTTTCGGTGTTTACTGAAGGGTGGCCCAAAATCTGGAACGATCTTCAATGTGGCGTCGCAAAAGCTCTTCAAAATAGGGCATCTTCGTGGTCACTCGGTCGTAGTAGGCTGCCAAATTCGGGTACTTCGACCCATCGAAAAGATCCTTCAGCTGCAAAGAAGCATAACAACTGAAGAAAGTGAGAAACTAAGCCAGTAATTGTGCCCCTAATATTCACCTACGGATAACGCAGCTGGTTCAGCATTTAAATTGCCCTTTTGCGAGCTGAAACAACTGAACAAATTTTGGCAGATCTATGCACCTTGATAATCGATGTTATGCAAAGCATGTGGGGTGGGGAAATATTGTGTTGTATTTTTTTAGTGAGCGCAAGGTTACAAAATGACGGTAAAGATATCTACAAATGTTGTACGCACAGACAACTGTTCATTTGTGAGATATTGTTTTACATAAGCAGCTGTTCACAGTTGCGCAATGATGCTAGCAGAAGCATTGGTATTAGCAATAGAAGGAGAAGCCTATATGTAACAGTTCTGCTCGCGAGGATCGTAGCCCTAGGCACTGCTACCTACATGCACCGCAATGGGTGGTGCCTAATTACAACTGATGTTAACCCGACATGACGGCTGTATTTTAGGTGTACATATATAATGCTTATAAAAGTGGATAGCCAGCACTGGAACCACAACTGACGTTTCGTGAACATCATGGTTTATTCGAAAAGTGCTTACGATTTAAGATTTTCTCAACCCTCGTGCTTTAAAATCGCTTATGTCTGTTCTCACCGTTCATTGGTATACATGAACTGTCAGTCACTTGTGGCGCATTCCCGAATACCCGCGGCACATACCAGCTTATTTTATGCGGATATATGTGGCACACGCGTCCGGCAAAAAAGAGTAGACGACGTATCAGCCAGGATTGTGCATTCATGTCATAACCAGCACGTCGTATTCTTCAAACCATCCTACTCTCCAGCTCTGATTTTGGTTTACCCCAAGTTAAGAGGGTGTTCACAAAAGCCTCTAGACGTAGGCGACTGGTTGGACGAATAAATGAATGGACGGACGGACAGATGGATTAACGGATGGATGAATGGATGAATGGACGGATGGACGAACGAAGAACGGATGTACAGATGGATGGATGTTCAATGTGCCTGCAGTACGCCGATAAGCACTTCGCATTTATCAACGGCGGCCTGTTTTAAATGTCTTCAGTTTTTATTAGCCCCCCCCCCCTCCCCCCTAACCGAAAATTCTTCCCGAGCACGTCATGCGTTATGTTGGTACTTAAACTGTCTATGAAGCGTGGCTGATAAGCAATGCTGCTCTTCGAGTGCAGAATATAAATTCAGACAGTGTATGCTTATATACAACAACGAAGAGACCGCAATTTACGATGAAGCCCCACGGCAGTGGCCTAGTGGCTAAGGTACACAGCTGCTGACCCGCAGGTCGCGTGATCAAATCTCGGCTGCGGTGGCTGCACTTTCGATGGAGGAGAAAATGCTTTAGGCCCGTGTCCTCAGATCAGGGTGCACGTTAGAAAACCCTAGGTGGTCAAAATTTGCGAACCCCTCCACCATGGCGTCTCTGAAAATCATATGGTGATTTCGAGACATTAAACCTCATATATCAGTAAATCTGCAATAGATCAATTTAGAAGGAATCATCAGAAATAGCAGGTACTAAACAGAGAGAATACAAGGACAATCGACTGAGAGCTTCACTTTTTTCTCAGACACACCTGAATAAATCAAAGAGCCGTTAATGTAATAGACTGTAGAATAAGATTACAGCTAAAAACTACAAATAGCCTCTCATATATTTTCAGTAGCTTAATTTCTTTCTTGTCTTATATCTTTTCATAGTTAAGAATTTCTGTGAACTGCGCCTTATATTCCTGAGCGCGACTACTTTGTGCTTCAGCGGCTTGTAGCTTACCGAGTATACACAAAAATAGGGAAGCCATATACGACGAACCTTACACCTAAGCTATCTTTATCATCAGTATACTCATTCCATCATTTTGCAGTAAAATGATAGTGGCAGGCGTTTCGCCGTGCCGAGTTGCATAACAAGGAGTTGATAAATGCACTGAATTTTTAACCGGAGAGTGATAAAGAGTTCCTTTCGCTGAAAATTGGGCGTCCACGTCATTGGCTGTGAGCGAAAAATCAACATCTCTTGCGTGACCTAAAGTTGGAAAAAGATGCAAATGAAACAAACAACCTAAAATTCCGAATGCGCGTGAGGTTCTAACCCAGATCACTTGCGTGGCAAATGGGTGTTCTGCTACACAGCTACGTGTGTGCTTGAAATTAAAGTAAACATAACACACTCTGCCTGAAAATGATGTGAAAGTAACTTTCAAGCTCTGCAAGCGCACTCGTCCTGTAATCGTGCTTCACAACACGACACGTTATATCGCTGTATGAGGCATTGTACTAGCGTACATAGCCATCGTGTGTTAGAACATGTGATTATAATTTTTACTTCATGGTTTAAAGCAGGTCACCAACTACAAAAGGCGCACACATTAATACACCTCTTCCCTTAGTTTGTGTGTGGGGTTCAATGTCCCAAAACCACCACAGTATTATGGAAAACGCCGTAGTGGAGGACTCCTGAAATTTCAACCATTTGAGGTTATTTAACGTGAACCCAAATCTGAGCACACGGTCCTACAGCATTTTCACCTACGTCGAAAATGCAGCTGCCGCAGCCAGAATTTTATCCCGCGACCTGCAGGGCAGAGGCCGAGTACCCGAGCCGATAGGCCACCGCGGGGGGGTTATACCAACACACTCGTTCTGTATAAATACTTCACAACACACCATGTAATATCGAGCCTAAAGATCCCCTCATTTTTCGTCTTTCTGTGCCCAATCGTCTCATTTTTTCTGTCTCATCGCCTCGTAAGTTAATAGAATCGCAGAAACTCACTTTTAACTACGATATTGTCATTGATGTTGTAATTAGAAGTTGAGAGCAAAGAGCGTCCATCGAAACTTCCGGCTGATTTTACCATGTTGTGTTAAGTCGTATTAATTTTTTGTAAAACAGTAGCAACAATCTCAACAGTCACGTGCGAAAGAAGGGCGTGTGGTGAGGGGGTGAAGACGCAAACCCACGCACGAGCATATGTATATAAAGGGTATTCATGTGAAACCCCGAAACCTAACCGTCTCCTTTAATAAACTCCTCTCCCCCAAGCACTGGGAAAGGAAAAAAAGGTGCTGGCTATAGCCCTGTCACCTCCTCGCCAGCACGGCGCGGCGCTATCATCACGTGCACCGTCACCTGCATGTCATTGCATTTGTGCACCGCGGTTTCGCCCCGCTGTCTTGTGATGATCATTTTTCTACAATATTGTCTGGGACGGAAATATTTTTCAAAGCCAATGCCATACGGCACACTTTGTTCAAGATATCTTACATCTCCCTGCATTTGGTCATATACTGGGATGTGCAGTCCGAGTGTTACTCTTTCGATTTCAATAAAATAGTACAAACAACTTTCCGTTTATCCGTTGTCGAGGTGTGCCATTGTGTCATGCACTAAATAGAAGAGTACTAGTGCATGCGCGACCACTTACGGAAACACCGGCCTATGTATGTTGCTGATCGTGTTATACGAAACAAATTGAACTGATGATTTTAGAAATGCATGACAAAAAAGAAACAAGCCGGAGGCAGTGATACAGAGAAATATCAATATTAGGAATTGATTGGTTGATGTTCGATTAGTGGTTGCGTAATTTTATAATGAACATGAAGTGCAGAAGTCAGCAGGAGAGCGTATTTCACTAACATTTGCTCAATGTTTTGAATAATAGGTATAGTTCTCATATTCCAACATGGATTTGTAACAGTGAACCACGACCAAGACAACCAACGTACTGCTGTGGATATAATGTACCAGCTATACAAATTCCCATTTTCAAAAGAGCAACTGCATGCAGTAACAATAAAGATTTTGGGGTTCGTTCTGCACTATTTTTTGACCCCAACTACACGCGGACGTTGGCGATAGAGATGTGCAGAAGCATTATTTATTTGGAGGGAGACTGACCTGTCCGTCACTAATTTGTGTACGTCATACTTTACATTGGCGCGCGTTTCGGCATTCACTCCAATAGCGGTGTGATGGTAGATAAATGTAAGAGTAAGCACTCCCCATAAATAAGAAATGAGTGTGTATATTGCGAAGTAATGCGCATCAATTATAATTGCAGAAATAAGTAATCGTCGAAATGCTAAACAGGCACTGCTGCCCCGGCGTGCAGTTCATGGCAGTTCGCGCGTACGCAATGCAAATGCTGGAGTAGACACGCTAAAACACCCATGTGACGTTTACGTGCAAAAGCGCATTGTCTTCAAACAGCTGACAATAGGCTGCTGTCACTTACACGCGTGTACCTCCCGACACAAATCGGCGAAATGGCTCACAGCACACGCACGTGCAAGAAACATACGCAGGTTTGGACAGCCGAACACAGCCTCGTATGTGAATTTCGGTGAGCGTAATACCCGCTGTTCACGGGAAAACACTAAAGCGACGCATAAACACACGTTAATTGTTCTTGCGGAACGGCGCACCATAAACCGAAGTCGGAGCCGAAAGCGCTCACCGTGGTTGCCTCGAGTTCATGAAGCCCTACAATCTATTCGCTGATCAAATGCATGAATATGGCAGAAAAACAGTTCAAGGTTCCGCCGATGGTTTACAAAATGTCCCTTGGTAGATATATAAACCCCACAAAAAACTCGCATACATGCGGGGTCGCTGTGGTGCAATGCGTAAGACATCTGCTTCACGTGTCTGCGGTCCCGAGTTCGATTTCTGGGCTCATGTGTGATTTGCACTTTAATGTCGCAAATATAGATATTTGGGACATTTATAGTTTTCTATTTACATTTCGTCATAAAATCCACCGCATTACGGCGACAAACCACTCTCTAAAGCGTAAAATATTGCTTTATTTTTACGCCACTGCGTCAGGACTGGGCCACCTACAGAAATGTCACGCCTAACCACTGGCCTTATCTTGCCAGAAAAATTCAACCTAAGATCCCGGCTAATCCTTGTCCCGGTTATTCGGAAGGCCGCTTGAAATCAGGCTGATTTCTCTGGGACACGGCTATGGAGCCGCGTAGAAGCGGCGATAATTTGACTTGATTTCCGGCCGGCAGGCGTGTAGTCTAGCCAGGACTAAACTAAGAATGTAAATAGCCAGACAGTGTAAGTATGCTATGTCGAAAAAAACGGGGTGAGAATTTGTTTTCTTTGAGAGATTGAACAATACATGTAGTGCTCCCTTGGAATCGGTGAAAATGACCATTCGGTCCCACTTTTTTTTTTTTTGCAAGAAGTGCAGAGTTTTAATCAACAAAGCGAAAGCATTTTCCGCACAGACATTTTTCAAGTTCAGGTGAAAATAGACGCTGCAAGTAATGAGGAATGATCGTGGAGACATACTGCTGAGGGCAATATAGTTGGTCAATTTTTTCGTCATAATAAATAGCAACACCGACGACTATCGCCCCTGCCTGTCAGTTGTATTCTTACTCAGCGTTGAGTTGTGAGGCTACAACTAAGGCAGAGCGAGTCTTTTGGCAAAGTAAAATGGCTATACATGGCGTACTGCTCACCGGAACAATGCAGGCCAGGAGAGAAATTAGACGAATATCCGCGAGGGTCAGATTATCGCACGCCACAAACGTTGCTGTGTCGCCGATAACCTGCTGGAAAGCCTTGACGACACCTTCCTCAAATTCTTTGAAGCTCTCAACGCTCGGTTTCTTGTTGGTCCTGAACGATGGTATCTACGGAAATAGGTAAAAAAATGCAGTATAAATTTGAAAGCAAAGTTGTGGTTTTCTATGGGTGCGTCATGTGCATCACGAGTCATTTTGATGGAAAGGTCAGATTTGTGCGCAAAACATGAATGCCTTGCTTCACTTAAAAAAAAGAATATATGAAGCACTGATTCATATTACAACATACAGGGTGTTTTTTTTCTAGAAAATGCAGATTTTTCAAAAAAATTATATAGGAGTGAGACCCTTCTGCTCTATGCAAATAATTTCTACGAAAAGGTGAACAAGCTTTGCTGCACCTAGGCCCAAACAACGAAACGTTCCTTTCCTTTGACCGCGTCCTCTCCTTACGTGAGGCTTCCTCACAACCAAGGACCGACGGAGGAAGCAAGCGTACTCTGAAAGCTCCCTTAACCCGTCCTCGCGGGAGGAATGGTTGCCGCGCTCCTGCGTTCGAGATTATCGAATATAAGCTTTGCTCACAAGCGGTTATTCTGTAAAAAAAAGTTGGGTCACCACATCACTTCCAAATTGAAGTGTTAATATAGAGACGGGTGTACGCTTTCTTCCAACTACGATTACTGAATGTGAAAATCCACCGTAGTCGAGCGCAAAACGTGGTGCATTCTAGCAACACTGCGCGCCGTCGTGCCTGGCCACCATACCTGGCACCGTGCACGCACGCTCGCCGCTCGTGTCTCCCCGCAGAGGTGGGGTGGGAGGGTTGCCTCGAAAACGAAAACATCACGTGGGCTAGCTGTGAGGCGAAGCGCTCGTTCAGGGCAAGGAGCGGACCTAAGGGCGCACGAAGGTAGCCCCAAAGCAACCTTAAGCTGAGGAAGCGCCAAGGAAGCCTTTACTGAGGGCTCCTCAGTGAGGAAGCTTTCAGAGTGACATAAGGCGGCCTCACAAAAATGAAGGCTTCCTCACTGAGGAAAGGAACGTTTCGTTGTTTGGCCCCTAGTTGCTCCCCAATGAGTGAGTGCAAAAAAATTGAAAATATTTGTTTTTATTTTTCACCTAAGAGCCGTTGTTTATTGCAAAGAGTTGTACGGCGAGTCAATTTCCTCTTCACAAATGGATTTTCTTGAATCAGGTGGTTTGGTCAGATCAGAAACTCACGTGGCGTAATTGAATAAAAAGAGGTATGTTTCAGTACAATGTGAACGAAAGAACGGTAGCCGTTTCAAATATTCTACTGGAGCGTATATTTTTTTGCGATGGCTGTTCAGTAATTATTGGTTTGTTTGTTAAACTCGAAAGAAACACTTGCTTCTCTACCAGGGGTAGTGCTGCGGGGCTGCCACCTATTTTCAAGCTTTGCAGCGAAATAAAAAGTGAGAACTGCGATTTTTTTGGGGAAGCATAAGCCAAAATAAACACTGCACGCACCAAACGCAATGAATAAGTGGTTGATTAGGGCATTCGGGACGGCTTGCCACTTGTTTGTAACTTACTCTTTTGCGTCGTGGTTTTCATTAAGTTGGGCACGTGGGTTTCTGCTATGATGTAAAGCTGCTGACGGAGTTGTGCCCCCCCCCCCCCCGGTGTGCCAAGTTTCCATAGCGCCTTGACAAGGGCCTTCAATTTTGATACGCGTTATGTGTATTTTTGGGCGTTTTTGCTGATTTTTTGCTTTTTGCAAATGGTCAAAGGTCTTCCGTCTTGGCACAGAGTTAGTTGTTTGTGAAAGCGATAGGGGTCGGAGTCGGAATGCCCTTAATTATATATATATATATATATATATATATATATATATATATATATATATATATATATATATATATATATATATATATATATATATATTATGACGACTCGGTTGTAACGAGGTTTATGTTTATTGGCCGTGAACTCGGGAACGAACAAGCGCAACGGACCCGATAATGAAGCGCACATTCAAAGAAGATGATGACTGTCAGCCTGAACATATGATGATGATTGCTGTTCAGATGAGGATGAAGCGCATAATAGATGCCTACATGGCAGAATTCATGGCAGAATTATTGGCCATTGTTCTTGCCCTACGCAAACTACCCTCAAGCGAATCATTAGCAGTTATCATTACAGATTCGTTATCAGTTTGTAATGCACTTTCTACGGCAGTAAATTCAGAGCTGATGAATACGTTTCGGCATTTAGTGCCGAAAAACGTAAAAAAACTGCATTTGCTATGGGTACCAGGTCACCGCGGATTATATTTGAACGAAATGGCGGACTCTTTAGCAGCAGTATCCCTGGGTGGGCCCACCATCCCAGTTTTGCCAGATACGGCCTACGTAACCGCGCTAAGGTTCCGAAATGCTTGCCTGCAATGGGGAAAAGGTAATTTGGATAAATTTAAAGATTTCGAGCATTTGAGCTATTGCTGGAATAAACAGTGGTGTGTATCTCGCCAGTAAGAGGTCACTTATACCAGATTGCGCTGTGCAGTTCCACAACTAAATTATTACCTTAATAAAGCTCAGCTCAAGGCGTCACCGCTATGCATTTGGTGCAACGAAATTGAAACAATTGAACATTTCTTTTTATTCTGTCATCGTTATTCTTATCAGAGAAAAAGATTTTTAGTTAACCCATTACAAAAGCTCGGAATACAAGTAAATTTACCAGTTATTTTATCACTTGGCGGAACTTCATTTGGTTACTGCCACAGGGATGTATGCTCCGCTGTGTTTGATTACATCAACGCAACTAAAAGATTACCATGCTAGTGAACCACTACCTTTTCAGATCTTTAGTTTATGATTCGTAGTTATGTCTTTCAAAAACAAAAGATGGTTTGACTGCTTGCTCAGCACACATTTTTGTTTTTGGTAGTATTATTTTAAGCTACTTTTTCAGATTGGCTTCATTTTCAGTTTAGTTTCATTTAAGTATCCTGCCGCCCGGTTCTTGGCCCATCCCCCTTTGTGGGTAAGCGCCATCCATCAAAGGTCATCAGCATCAGCATCAAATGCCTACACTGATCCCCCCCCCCCCCCCGTGGAAGTAGCCAGCCTGGCCGCTGCGGGCGGGTAGTCAAGGTGACGAAGAACGTCGTGGGAAAAGCTTCATGTGGGAAACGTGTAGTACAATTTCGGTGCTGCGGTAACGGCGATCAGTTGGCATGACAAGAGGCGTCACACGATAGTTGATAGGTGAAGTCTCACATAAAACAACATATGGGGCGATGAATTGAGGCTGGAACTTGTCGCAGAGACCAGGTGTGCGAATTGGTGTCAATAGCAGCACCTCGTCACCCGGTCGGAATGATACCCCACGATGAGAGGTGTCGTAGATGGCCTTCCTTGCTTGTTGCGTAGCTTCCGTGTTCATACGAGCGCACTGACGGCACTGGGCAAGGCGAGAAGTATATTCTTCGCAAGAAGATGGTGATGGAGGGCCATTGCTGGTGAAGAAGAAAACATAACATCGATAATGAAAGTTGGTGAACGTCCGTAAACGAGATAAAACGGTGAGAATCCGGTTGTGCGCCGAACAGCGGTGTTATAGGCAAAAGTGAGGAACGGTAGAAGTTTATCCCAGTTTCTGTGATCCGGTTGAATGTATACGGCGATCATGTCGGCAAGGGTTCGATGAAATCTCTCGGTCAGACTGTTTGTTTGAGGATGGTAGCTGAACGCAATCTTGTGTGTATTAGCAGAAACGCGAAGAGCTTCACCTAAAAGCTGTGATAAGAACACCTTTCTACGGTCACTTAGAAGTACACGAGGAGCACCATGACGTAGTATTATGGCCTGAAGGATAAAGTCAGAAACATCCGATGCTGAACTAGTAGCTTCTGAAGTTGTCTCGGCGTAGCGTGTCATATGGTCTACGGCGGTGACTATCCATCTATTTCCAGCGCTAGTAACAGGAAGGGTTCCATAAAGATCGACACCGACGACCTCGAAAGGTGTTGTAGGGCACGTCATTGGCTGTAACTGACCAGCCGGGGGAGATGTCAGAAGTTTGTGAAGTTGGCACGGAGAGCAGTTACCCACGTGCTTTGCTACACTGGTAGAAATCCCAAGAAAATAAAAGCGGCTTCGAATGCGGTCGTAGGTTTTGTGAAAGCCGAGGTGGCCAGCACTCAAATCGTCATGACAGGCGTTAAGCACATGATGTTGAAGAGCGCGTGGCAGAAAGGGCACCCAGCGTTGGCCGTCAGGATAATATATGTGACGATACAGCACACCGTCCTGAAATTTGAAGTGCACGAGTTGTCGACGAAGGCGTGCATTGGGTGGACGCGTAGCTCCTGAAAGGTGGTCTATAATGCGCCGACAATACGGGTCAGCCTGCTGGCGAGAACTGAAGGGTTGTTCATCGTCGATTGACGGTTGGTACAGCGAGGTGAGCAAGGCAACAGAAGTGGGAGTCACGTCTGCACTGGTGTCGTTGGAGGTGGCAGCTGGAGTGTCGAACGAAGCCGTAGGTAGTGGGCTCAGAGAAAGAGCGTCGGCGTCTTGATGTTTTTTGCCCGATTTAAAAATAAGCTCAAACTGATACTCCTGTAGGCGTGAAATCCAACGACCCAAGCGTTTGGACAAGTTCTTCATTGTAGAAAGGCAGCATAAGGCGTGGTGGTCCGTTACGATGGTGAATTGACGGCCGTACAGATAAGGACGGAACTTTTGTACGGACCAAACCACAGCGAGGCACTCTTGCTCAGAGATGGTATAGTTCTTTTCCGTAGAAGTAAGCACTCGGCTAGCAAATGCAATGACCCTTTCCCGTCCAAAGTTATCGCGTTGGAGGAGAACAGCACCTATACCGCAACCGCTGGCGTCGGTATGCAGGAGTGTTGGGGCGGTGTCATCAAAATGGCAGAGTACAGGCTCTGACGTCAAAGCTTCCTTCAATAGGTCAAACGCCAAGTGACATTCCTCGGACCACACAAAGAGTGCATTAGAAGCAAGTACTTTGTGAAGTGGCGCAGCTGTTGAAGCGAAATTTCGTATGAAGCGACGAAAATAGAATGCGAGGCCAAGAGAACTTCGCAAATCCTTAAGTTTTGTGGG